TAATAATTATAGCAGTCCCCCGTGGCGCAGTGGTAAAACACTAGACCCACGCATCGCCAGCGATTTGGCCTGGGTTCGTTCTAACCAAAGCTGTGTAGATGGCATTGAAAGAGCCCTGGTGTAGCAGGCGATGAGTCACAATAACGTGGCTGAAGTATGTTGACCAGACCACACACTAGAAGGTGAAGGGACGACGACGTTTCGGTCCGTCCTGGACCATTCTCAAGTCAATTGAGAATGGTCCAGGACGGACCGAAACGTCGTCGTCCCTTCAACTTCTAGTGTGTGGTCTGGTCAACAGCCCTTGTGTAGGTTTCTAAACGACGTTCTAATAGTAACCATCATTCCAATTGTAAATAAGGCACCCGTGTTCATGTGTACCTCTGGAGATAGTGGTGGAATTATACATCCATGCCCAATAGCCTTTTTCTCACTCAGACTCCTGCAGTTGCCCTTATGGTGCAGAGAGCTCCTAGTCTCCTTTCTCACTCTCCCATCTCACACTCAGCACTGAAATGTTACAACCATTTGTTTGCCCCATTGCTGGAGTTGGTTAAGGTCTTCCTGTAACTTTCTGCAGTCGTCCTCTGTTTTTACATTCCTCATTTCCTTGGCGTCGACTGCAACCATTTGACATGTACGAGCTTACTGCTTTGGGCTACGTCATTCACATCAAGTAGGAACAGTATAGTGGCGCCAGGACCGACCCTAAGGAAGAACTCCACTTGTTACATTTCTCCAACTCGAAACCTCCTCTCATGACTCTGTTTTCTGTCCCTCAGGTACTCCCTTATAGCCAGTTCAGTGTCCTCTTCCATACTGTTCCTTTGTTACAAAGTTTATACTCTCCAGGAGTTCAATTATCTTATTCTAATTACTTTGTCTAGCACTTTACATGGAATATTTGTTAGTTCCTCTGGGGTAGTGGTGGTGGTGGTTGAGTAGTGGTTAGTTGTGGTGGCAGAAGGGGAGAGGTGGTAGTAATGGGGTAGTGGTGCAGGGTTACTGGTGGTGGTAGAGGGGTAGGTGTTGTAGTAGAGTGGAAGTTATGGTGGTAGAGGAGTAGTGGTGGTGGTAGTAGTTAGTGGTGTTGGTAGAGGGGTAGTGGTGTTGGTAGCGGGTTAGTAGTGGTGGTAGTGGTGGTGGTGGTGTGGGAGAGCTGCCAGCTACCGCCAGTGAGGGGCAGTGACTGGTGGTGGTGGTGGGAGGAAGAGAGTGTTGTCCTGACCGAGCCGTGCGAGGAGCTCCTGCAGTAGGTCCACCAGCAGCTCTCAGTCTCACTCCCAGCTCCCACACATGCACACACACACACACGCGCACACCACTCTCCACAACACATCTGACGGCTCATATACCTCCCGCGCCTCCACCGAGTGTTACAAGTGCCGAACATGACCTGTAGACAATGTGGCCTTTGCTAGGCAGTGAGAGGGTGTTGTGGTGTAGCACAGTGTGTTGAGGGTGTGTGTGCAGATGTGTGAGGTGTAGTGAGAGGTCTAGTGGGTGTAAGGTGGTGACTTCTCAGGTGTAGAGGTCAACACCCTCCGGCCTGCCTAGAAGAGGGACCAACTCACGCTGGGTCTGACCAATGACACAATCTCATTGTCTCAAACTTCGGCCAGCTACCTAGTGTACATCGTTATTCAAATATAGCTGAACTTCAAGCTATTTTACGGTTATTTTTGCTCTATCGAAGGCGAGAGGACCTCGGGGAATATCGCCAAGCCTCACCGCTCTTCTCCAAACGTCGCCGACATCTTTTAAATCATCACAATGATCTATCTTCAGGTAGGTCGAATTCATTTGACATCTTGTCCACTTTTGTTTCAGATTTCTATTTCGGCGAATTCTACCTCACTCTCTCTCTCTCTAACTGTACTTGACATACTGACAAAATCTCAAAATACATATTTTGTCGGCGCGAAGCCTGGCAAAATGACACGTGTCACCTGCCTGACACTAGTGTGAGGAACTAGAAAGCAGCAAGCCGGGAGGACTGTGCAGCACAGTGACTGTGGCACAGTATTCACCTTCCTGGGGTGTGGTTGACACGGCCGGAACGAGACCACCAAAACAAAAGACGAGCGATGCCGAAGGTTTAACAATTGAGTTGATGTTTTATGTAAATTGGTGGCGCGCGTGCTAACCTAGATGTACTGAGAGGATCACGCTCCAGTAGTACAACAAGTACTTTACAAGGTTGTGCTTCATCTTGGAGCCACGGGAGACATCTCCCGTCACGCAGGGTGCAGTCGCACCTCCACAGATCTCCAGTATCAGCTCTTGATACTGGTAATGGCTCAAAAGGGCCACCACTTACGGGCTATTCATGGCCCTGCCACCTCTTGGGTGGCTTAATCTTTATCAATCATCATCATCATCTTGGAGCCAGTCTATCAGTGACTACGAGGACATGAGGTCTATAGCTCTTTATGTTGCGCCTAGCAGCCTTCTTCTTGTGCTACAGTTTTATCTCACGTTCGAAATCTTTCTCGGGTCTGGCCTTAAAGTTGTGGCTGGAGGTGGCTTCACAACTTCTCTCAGTGCTTGCCACTTGTTCACCTCCCGCTGGCTACGAGTACTACAGTTTTTCGACTAAGTTATTTAAGTGTTTTTGTTACTATTATTTTTCTACCACAGACGTGGCCACACATTTATAATGGTAACCATTAACACATATATATTTTCTTCTATCCTCCAAGGACAGTTAGAGATCTGTTAAACATAGAGTTCAGTGATTTATTGAACCATCAGCCAAAGAACGTGATTGTAATTCTGTTAAAATATATAGATTTATGTCTGTTCTACATAAAGAGTGTTCGGGGTATGTTCTTTTATACATAGTGATTCAGGTGAACGGTCTTCACACCGGCTAGCGGCCGTTCTGGTAACACGTTCTCAACCGACCTATTTATTGCAACCCGTCCTCGACTCAAGTCCATTACATCCAGCGGTCGACCCCGCAGACGCACTCATAAATTTTTACATGCTGTTCATTCCAAACGGGAATTTTCTCAAATATAAATTAATATTATGATATATTAGCATATTGTGCATATATAGGCATAGGTTACGTTAGGTTCTGTTGGCGATTATTTCCATTTGTAGTACGTGGGTGAAGCATTTACAGCGTTGTGGTTCGAACAAAATTCGTCAGTGAAGCACTTGTTCCGGATATGTTCGAACGTCAGCAGTTGTGAGTCGTGTGTAAACCGTTTTTCATTCATAAACACCTGGGGGGGTTTGGCGGGTGGATGGAATCACTTTTGGGTCTTTGGAGGACGGGCTGGTCATCCATGGTCTCTTGTCCAGTGCCTCGATTGTCCCTCTAGTGTCATCAATATACAAGATCAATCAAGAGGGTCCCGGGGTAGTACAATCGGGTTCGGTCTCGACGCCCAATCGAGAATACGGGCTTCGAATCCCGACGGGACAGAAATGGTTGGGCACATTTCCTTTCACCTAATGCACATGTCCACCCAGCAGCAAGTAGGTACTCAGGAGATAGTCAGCTTGTTGTGGGGGGGGGAGGGGAGGGTTGCCTCCTGGGCGGGGTCAGTAATACACTCTGGCTGCCTGTCCCCCGACACAATGAATTATTATTATTATTATTATTAATACCTCTTGTCCCGGGACCAGATTCACGAAGCAGCTACGCAAGCACTTACGAACGAGTCCATCTTTTCTCAATCTTTGGCGGCTTTGTTTACAATTATTAAACAGTTGATGAGTTCCGAAGCACCAGGAGGCTGTTTATAACAACAACAACAGTTTATTGGCAAGTTGTCATGCTTGTAAACTGTTTAATAAATGTAACCAAAGCCGTCAAAGATTGAAGGAAAGATGTACACGTTCGTAAGTGCTTGCGTAGCTGCTTCGTGAATCTGGCTCCAGGTGTCTAGTGGCACGTGTGTAACTCTAGTGTCATCCACGGATGACACTAGAGTCACACACACGTGCGCCGTCTGTCACTCTAGTGTACCAGACGTGTTCTGGTGTCAAGTGGCACTATAGTGGCTATATGGTTGTGGGGAAGTATAAACAAAGGCCAAAAGTGACTCCAGGCACCCGCCACGCCCCCCGTTTATGAATGGAAAAACAGTTTACACAAGACTCACAGCTGATGACGTTCGAACATTTACGGAAAAAGTGCTCCGCTGACTACTTTTGTTCGAACCACAATGCTGTAAATGCTTCACCCACGTACCTAACCAGCACCTAAATATGCACAGTGTTAATACTGTGTTTAACTATTAATTTATATTCGAGAAATCTTATTTTGGATGCACAGCATGTTAAAATTGGTGATTGCGTCTTTGGGGTCGACCGCTGGATGGAATTGTATGGAGGTGGGCTGCAGGTGTATGGAAGAGGTGGGCTGCAGGTGTATGGAAGAGGTGGGCTGCAGGTGTATGGAAGAGGTGGGCTGCAGGTGTATGGAGAGGTGGGCTGCAGGTGTATGGAAGAGGTGGGCTGCAGGTGTATGGAAGAGGTGGGCTGCAGGTGTATGGAAGAGGTGGGCTGCAGGTGTATGGAAGAGGTGGGCTGCAGGTGTATGGAAGACGTGGGCTGCAGGTGCAACCCGTTCTCGCACTTTCTTACAGTCAATATTGACTTATTAAATACGTGCATATGTGACATACTAAACATACTAGTTTACCTTGAAAAGCTTCATAGAAAACACCGACCTTACCTAACCTTCTTAGTATGTTAAGATAAGCATCTTATTGCTTCGTAATTACAATTATTACTTAACCTATTATAGGTATAGGTTAAGTAATAATTGTAATTACGAAGCAATAAGATGCTTATCTTAACATACTAAGAAGGTTAGGTAAGGTCGGTGTTTTCTATGAAGCTTTTCAAGGTAAACTAGTATGTTTAGTATGTCACATATGCACATATTTAATAAGTCAGTATTGACTATACGAAAGTGCGAGAACGGGTTGGCAGGTGGCACATGACACGCCGCGTCCAGCCACCGTCCCCAGTACACCTACACAAATATGGAAGTGTTCGGGTGTGAATGTAAATAGGAACACTTTTCCATGAGCCAAGAGGTTTTCGAACGGTTTCTCAACTTTAGCGTTGTGCGTAGAACATTTACCGTTGACGAGTGAAGAGTCTGAACATTTACCGTTGACGAGTGAAGAGTCTGAACGTTTACCGTTGACGAGTGAAGAGTCTGAACATTTACCGTTGACGAGTGAAGAGTCTGAACATTTACCGTTGACGAGTGAAGAGTCTGAACATTTACCGTTGACGAGTGAAGAGTCTGAACGTTTACCGTTGACGAGTGAAGAGTCCTGAACATTTACCGTTGACGATGAAGAGTCTGAACGTTTACCGTTGACGAGTGAAGAGTCTGAACGTTTTACCGTTGACGAGTGAAGAGTCTGAACGTTTACCGTTGACGAGTGAAGAGTCTGAACGTTTAACCGTTGACGAGTGAAGAGTCTGAACGTTTACCGTTGACGAGTGAAGAGTCTGAACGTTTACCGTTGACGAGTGAAGAGTCTGAACGTTTACCGTTGACGAGTGAAGAGTCTGAACGTTTACCGTTGACGAGTGAAGAGTCTGAACGTTTACCGTTGACGAGTGAAGAGTCTGAACGTTTTACCGTTGACGAGTGAAGAGTCTGAACGTTTACCGTTGACGAGTGAAGAGTCTGAACGTTTACCGTTGACGAGTGAAGAGTCTGAACGTTTACCGTTGACGAGTGAAGAGTCTGAACATTTACCGTTGACGAGTGAAGAGTCTGAACGTTTACCGTTGACGAGTGAAGAGTCTGAACATTTACCGTTGACGAGTGAAGAGTCTGAACGTTACCGTTGACGAGTGAAGAGTCTGAACGTTTACCGTTGACGAGTGAAGAGTCTGAACGTTTACCGTTGACGAGTGAAGAGTCTGAACGTTTACCGTTGACGAGTGAAGAGTCTGAACGTTTACCGTTGACGAGTGAAGAGTGTCTGAACATTTACCGTTGACGAGTGAAGAGTCTGAACGTTTACCGTTGACGAGTGAAGAGTCTGAACGTTTACCGTTGACGAGTGAAGAGTCTGAACATTTACCGTTGACGAGTGAAGAGTCTGAACGTTTACCGTTGACGAGTGAAGAGTCTGAACGTTCCCACTTAATGATTTCATTAACTAAAAGTTCCCCATTTAAAGCTTACTCTATTACTTTTATTTTTGTTACAGAACAAATGTGAAAAAAACATAATACAACCCAAATGTTGTTGTTGTTAATTACTGATGTTGTTAGTCTTCTTGTGGTTATGTTCTTGTTGAAGCTGTTGTTAATGTTGTTGTGGAGGTTGTTAATGTTGTTGAAGATGTTGTGGAGGTTGTTAATGTTGTTGAAGATGTTGTGGAGGTTGTTAATGTTGTTGTGGAGGTTGTTAATGTTGTTGTGGAGGTTGTTAATGTTGTTGTTAATGTTGTTGTGGAGGTTGTTAATGTTGTTGTGGAGGTTGTTAATGTTGTTGTGGAGGTTGTTAATGTTGTTGTTAATGTTGTTGTGGAGGTTGTTAATGTTGTTGTGGAGGTTGTTAATGTTGTTGTTAATGTTGTTGTGGAGGTTGTTAATGTTGTTGTGGAGGTTGTTAATGTGGTTGTTAATGTGTTGTTGTGGTTGTTAATGTTGTTGTTAATGTTGTTGTGGATGGTTGTTAATGTTGTTGTGGTTGTTAATGTGGTTGTTAATGGTTGTTGTGGTTGTTAATGTTGTTGTGGAGGTTTTTTATGTGTTGTTAATGTTGTTGTGGAGGTTGTTAATGTTGTTGTGGAGGTTGTTAATGTTGTTGTGGAGGTTGTTAATGTTGTTGTGGAGGTTGTTAATGTTGTTGTGGAGGTTGTTAATGTTGTTGTTAATGTTGTTGTTAATGTTGTTGTGGAGGTTGTTAATGTTGTTGTGGAGGTTGTTAATGTTGTTGTTAATGTTGTTGTTAATGTTGTTGTGGAGGTTGTTAATGTTGTTGTTAATGTTGTTAATGTTGTTGATGTTGTGGAGGTTGTTAATGTTGTTGTGGAGGTTGTTAATGTTGTTGTTAATGTTATTAATGTTGTTGAAGATGTTGTTAATGTTGTTGAAGATGTTGTTAATGTTGTTATGGAGGTTGTTAATGTTGTTGAAGATGTTGTTAATGTTGTTGAAGATGTTGTTATGTTGTTATGGAGGTTGTTAATGTTGTTGAAGATGTTGTTAATGTTGTTGAAGATTTGTTAATGTTGTTATGGAGGTTGTTAATGTTGTTGAAGATGTTGTTAATGTTGTTGAAGATGTTGTTAATGTTGTTGAAGATGATGTTGTTGGTGTTTTTGAGAATCTTGTTGTTAAAGTTACCGATGTTGTTAGTGATGTTACTGGTGTTAAGGATGTTATTGTTGCTGTAGTGGGAACCACCGGCCCCAATATAGCAATAAACTGTCAACTACACTACAGAGAAATAACCATTTCATTCACCTGAGCACTATAGGAGTCTCGAACCGTCGACCCACGAGCGTGAGCCAGAAGCTCTATCCAAGCGTGCTATGAGTGGCCTTAATAAGGAAGACTTCCAAGAAGCAACTAACAGCTATCCAGTTGGAATTTTCGACCTCTCCAGCTCAGAGCAATTAGTCACTAATTACTCTGAGCTTAATTAGTTTCCTTTGCTACATATAAACCATACATATATATTAAGAATAAATTGAAGGGAGTACCACCACTGGCTGGACGAAAGGGGACCCTTAGCCTCGGAGGAAAGCGCACATAACCCATTAGAGGGAATGTTTAGGTCCCCTACAATACAGTTCCTATCATTTTTTCCCCCTACTACCCTCCTAGGAGCC